TGTTGATAAGCCACCCATTTGTGATATTTTGTTATGGAAGCCAAAACGAACTAAGACACCCTTTGATGTAATAATTTCTATAATACATATTTTCCCTAAGGAAATAATTTAAATTTGGACAATAATTTATATAGAAATATATTATTTGACATTTTATATCTAGCATTGAAAAGAATGAAACCAGCCTAACTACTGAACAATAGAAGAATGATTAATTTTATTTCATCCTTTTGACAGAATGTTAAGCTTTTAAAGTATTTGAATATTTACTTACTTAAAAATGATCTACCTCAAAATGCAAATACCAAAAACTAAATGAAAAAGGATAGAATATTTATACACAATATGATCTTATATATCCATATATTAAGAGAAAAAGATTGAAAGTGAAATATATGAAAATATTGTCAGTCAATATTTCTGTGTGGCAGGTATATAGTTGATTTTTATTTACATTTTAATCCATTTTTACATTTTACAAAGTTTCTACAAGGAACTTTTATAATTCATACTTTAAAAAAAAGTTATAAATACAAAAGTGCCTAAGCTAATAGTATCCTGTGGATGAATAATTGTATACTATCTCAATTTTTGTCATCCAGGAACTCTGGTATTAGTTTTCTATTTTCATCTATACTTCTATTCAGCCTTCGCAAACAAAACAGTTTCCATGTCATTGTTGATGTTCATTAGTGTGAACTAATACCAGTGACCAACAGTGTGGTCCTGATGGCAGGCATGCCTCTCAGACTGCAGTCCTAGAGCCTGGCTTTCTTACCACAGAACAGACTGTCAGTCCTACCAAAAGAAGTAGGAAGCCAGAGGTAGACAACTGCCAGGGTCTGAACTCAAAGTTGCAGCAACATGTTCTTCAGTGCAATGACAAATCTGTCAATGCAACATGGTACTCGTTCCCAATTACTCTCAGACTATTAACTGTGAGAACCTACAGGAGCATGTTTTCACCACTTGGGATATGTGTCAGTTTGCTCAATTCAATACATGACCAGTTCTCACTCGAGAAAAGAATTGGAATTCATTAAAGTCTGCTGAATTCTGTGATAAAGACATATGTGATTTCTGGAGTCAAGTGCCTTCATGAAATACTTTCCAAACAAGCTTGTCCATACTTTGAGCAAACCCCTTCTTTATTCTAAGTATCAACAGAATTATGTTTGTATACATAATTATATGTCTGCCAGCCACCTACACTGTACATCAAGAGTCAGACAGAGAGAGATTTATAGTCTTCTAGCACTTTGAAATCAACAATGCCTACCCAATTAAACTCACTGCTTGTCCATGGTGGAGCAAACATTAGATGAATTATTTCCGATGCTAAGCACTGATTGTATAGGGGCAATGCATAGGTGAAATGATTCTTGTTCATTTTAAATTCTGTTGCACTTTCCCTACTTTTTCTCACTGAGTGTATGTTACTTTTATAGTAGGGAAAAACCCTTTACAATGTTTCATGTTCTCAGCCCTTGCAGACATTAAAACCTGGCAAGGAGAGCAGATTTTGCAGCTAGTTATATGGCAGTATAAAGAGTGCTCCGCCTACAGTGCAAAGTTCTAGGGGAGTTCACAGGGGAAGGAGAAGATTAATTCTGTCCAGGAAGGAGGAGGCACCATGAGGGTAAGTGAGCGAAACAGAGGAAGCAGTTTATGAAATGAGCTTGGATGGATGAGTAATATTTTTATGTGGCCAAGAACAGCATTCCAAGAGAAAGATCAGCATGTAGAAACTCAAACATGAGAGTAGAGAACATACTAGGGGAAGGGCAGTTAATCTGGAGTGACAGCGCTTATCTGATGTGGCCACACTAATTGTCAACCCCTTTCAACCCAATGTTTAGTCTTGCTTAGGTTTTAATTTCTCAGTACGCATTTGGGTTAAAACTCATTTCTTATTTTACCATGGTTCACAATAAGTAGGACTGCATGCCTCATCTGTCTCAATCTGAAGATTATTTCAAAATGAAACTAATTTCAAAATTAAATGGATTTAAGTGTTCAGCCAATTCATTTGATTTGCATTTTAGAGATTTCTGTTGAGAAATTATAATGATTCCTCACAGCTCATTCTATTTTGCAATTTGATTAAAGGTTCTGTAACTTAGCTAATTCAGGTGTGGAAAAACATTTAGGCAAACATTTTTAAGTGGTTTTATCCATGTGGATGGCAACAGTAATACAAGTTAGAAATTAATTCAGATATTTTAGCCAGAGCCTTCACTGAATCAACAGATGGCCAGGTGAGGGAAATCATTTAATGGCAACAAAACGACTGCCTAAACAAGAGACAGAAGATGAGGCTCTCCTCTTTGCTCCTCCAACTACCAGGCAAGAAATTACAGCAAATGATACACTCTGAACCTTCTTTTCCCATCTGTGAAACAGACATAATAGTACCATGCATTCCCTACTTCACAGGACCATTAAAATCACATCAGATAGCATGTGCCATAGTTTATGCAATTCTTAAAGACCTTAGAGATCATCTTACGAGGTTTGTACATTTTGCTCTGAGAAGCTCCATTCTCAGCAAGATGATGGTAGGGTCAAGAGAGACTCAAGGACGCTGCTGCAGGTTGGGTGGGGCTCCCCCTCTCACATCCCTACTTTCATCTGAGGAGTCTTCAATTGCCTGCTTTACATAGGTCACTCCAGAAAACCTTTCATATGAAGAAAATGTCTAACAGTTTAAAAGGATTGAAAACAACTGATTTATCCCAGTTGGCTCATTTTACAATGAGAAAAGTAAAACCCAGAGAAGCTAAATAACTTCTCCAACTTTAAGTAGTTATAAACTGGTGGGGTAGATGATTGAATCCAAGCTTTCTGTTTCCAAGTCCATTGCCTTTTCTACTATACCATATGGTTAAAGTAACACAAATATTACACACTGACATAGAAGTACTAAGAATCAGGACAGTTTTGTATAGAAGGAAGATATGACATCGCCTAGACAGTATGAAAATTCCATTCAGCAATATAAAACTAATGTGTATACTTATTGAATAAATATTAAATGTCATATGTGTTCCAGACTTTGTTCTAAGCACTGCTTTCAGCACTTTAAAATTCAGTTTCCAACAAAGAAGTTATGACATTAAAACCTAACACTGGAATAAAACATCCCAATTTAGTATAGATGTGGTTATTGCCCATGCAAAAATACCTCTTTGGTTTCTGCAGTCAAATAAACACTAATCTGCTTGTATCTGGGCCCACTCTTTCTGAATTTTCTATTATTAATTTGCTCCTTGTATCAAAAGCTAACACATCACTTGTGGAATATATTCCAACTACTTTCACGTTCAAGATGCTACAAGCATCTCCTTCTTTTTCTGTATACTTATTTTCTTTCTTTCTGGTGATTATTTTGCGGCACATAAATATGCTCCAGTGACTGTCATCTTAAAAACAAAACAAAAACCTTTCTTGCCTCCATGACCAACTGCCACTCAATTTCCTTTCTTCCTTTCAAAGCAAATATTTTTGGAAAGAGTTATCTGCAGTCACCGTGGCCTTCCCACCCTCAAGCCACCCTGTCTGTGGACAAAGCCAAGCTCCACTGCTTCTCCCCTCCAGAATATGAGAACAGGGATCCTGCCTATTCACCATGTATCCCAACACTCGAAACAGCACCCACCATATGCTTAGCTCATGGAATGAATAAATTGTGGAATAAATAAATCATCTAGAACCATATAGTGACTTAGTGAATTACATAATATAGAGCTTGCCAATTTCTCATATATTTCAGAAAGATGGGTCACAATATACAACAAATTTTACTTGACTGCAAATTAAATTACTTCAGCCACTATTTGAAAACATGTGTAATGACCCAGAATGCTAAAGCAAATCTATAAATGTAATTTAAGTCCTACCAAACTTGCGACAGGATATTTTTGTATAAGTTTGGAAAATAATTCTAAAATCCATTTTGAAGAATAAATATTTAAAAATAACCAGGAAGACTTGACAAAGAAGAATAATGTGGGTAAAATTGCACTACCAGATATAAAAACTGTGTTACAAAATAACAGTAATTAAAACAGCGTGAATCTGGCACGAGATGAGAGATCAAAAACAGAATACAGAGTTCAGAATTGAGCTCAAATGTATTTGGGGATTTGATAAATTTTAAAAAATAGCATTTCTAATCAGGGAAAGAAATAGTGGGTATTCAAGAAAAGGTATAGGACAACTGCCTAGGTACTTACTAAATAAATAAGTATCCCTCCCTTACTCCTCATACTGAATTCATAACAGAAAATAAAGCATTAGAAAAATCTTTTTCTAGCCTTAGAGTGAGGAAGGCTTTTTAAATATATCAACAAAACTAGAACCATAAAGAAAATCCACTGACAGATGACAGACACTACTTAAAAGTGAAAAAATATATATGGTAAAAACAGAACAAAGTAGAATAGGAAACCCTGTCAACAAGATTAAAAGGCGAACAAAGACCTAGCAAACATTTTTGCTATGTACATATGACAAAGGGTTACAAAAGAGTTATGTTTCATCAACAGGGAAAAAATATCATGAGTTATAAATAGGCAAAATAAATAATCTACAAAATAATAAATATAAATGGCCAGTAAACACATGAAAAGATGGACAGTCTCATGAATAATCAGAATGCAAGTGAAAATACTGAATTTTGTTTATCTATTAGCCAGCTAAAATTAAAAAGGTTGACAATACACTGGGGTTTGAAAGGGATAGAAAATGAATGTCTTATACACTATTAGTGAGAGAATAAACTAGTATGCTCTGAGAGTTGATTTGGCAACTAATATAAAATATCCATTAAGGGAACAATCAAACAATTAATATATAATACAACTTGGAGAGTCATTCATAATTGGAAAAAAAGTCCATCAGTAGATTATTGAATATGTAATAATTGATCTATATAAGGAACTATCACGGAGACCTTATTATGGAGACCAACATTTTTGAAATGTAGAAAGAGACCCACAGTGCTTGCTTCAGCAGCACATATACTAAAATTGGAATGATAACAGAGAATATTGTTATCACAACCCTGCACAAGAATGATCAAATTCGTGAAGTGTTCTATATTTTTACAAACCAGCACGTCCTACACATGTATCCTGGAACTTAAAATAACATAAAGTTTTTAAAAACAGAAAGAAATACAAATGAAAAACAAAACATAACAATCCAATAAAAAATGAAAACAGGCAAAAATTTAAAAAATAATAAAGAAGGGCAGGAAAAAGCAGACTCTAAACGTATTCTACCGCCTCAATATTTTCTTGACTCAATTGCCTTCCTCCATCTCCATCATCACTCTGCAACATCCTCTCTCTCCTGGTCCCCCAGCCTCCTCTCGTGACTTCCTCCTGTTGATCTTCCACACTGCAGCTGTGAGGAGAGTCCTACAAAGCTAGCATCTGAATCTTTTGCTCCTCACTTAAAAACTATTAGTTTGCCATTACTCAGAAAGGTTACTGCCCTTGCCTGATCTGCTCACACCTCCGGCCCCCTCTCTTTTCTTTCTCTCCCACTTGTTCTAGTGACCTTATTTCACTTCTGTTCCCGCCCCACCACTGACTCCAACCTTGCTTTTTTGCACTTGCTCTGTCTGGAACCTTCTTGCTCACACTCCACCTCCCATCTCCACACTGTGCCTATTAATGCCTCTACACCTTTATGCACTCAGCACAGATGCCATGTCCTCAGGCAAGTCTTCCCTGTTTACCCACTCTAAATCAGCTCCCCTTTTGTAAACAGTCGGCCCTCCGGATCTGCAGATGCAGAAGCTGTGGATACAGAGAGCTGCCTGTAAAGGACTTGAGGAACTGAAGTATCCACAGGAAGTCCTGGAACCAACCCCCGTGGATATGGAGGACAGGCTGTACTCTTACAGCTCTCTTCCTTCTTTCCCAGTCACCTTGTTACAGCTTGGAATTATTTATTTCTGGATTATATCATGACTATCCATCTCCATCTCCATGCTTGAAGACAAGGACCATGTTTCTTTTCCTCATATCTCTGCTACATACTGAACACATTTTAGAGACTGACATGATCAGACACCAAAGCATCTTGAGTGAAAAAAGGAAAGGAGGGTGAAAGGCAAGGCAAGGCAAGAAAAAGGATTTGCTACTCTTACTTGACAACTGATAAGAAATAGATGAGAAACTATAAGAACTTTTAAATCATTATGGTAAAAATGTACATAATTCATCACAAATTTTGAGCCACGAAAGCAGCACTTTTTTTCTACTATATTTGTCCTTCCCAAATCAGAGACTCAATGGTATATTGCTGGCTATTGCAGCTCACTTCCAGAAAGAAGAATGAAGTCTCATCCCCAGTGGCAGGATCATTGCCTAGGTCAAATTTACAGCAAACCCTGGGATTCTGATGCCAAGAACCAGTCCCTATTGAAGACAGTGGCCTTATTTCCTAAATGTTGTCCATAATGAGACGAGTTTTATTTTCCATTTGCATACTATAAATCAGAAAGTCAATGTTGAATTGAGCCCAGATTTCTTCTTCTTACTCTCTCTTGACATGTTCCTAAGAGAGTTTCAATTTCTTGGGAAAATTTCACTATAAACCAAAAAGGGGAAGATCAATTACCCCTTCAAATTCTTTCTCTTTTCCTAGACTTTCCATGCCATACTTCACAACGCCCACCAAATCCACCCATAACCACCTAGGAAACTCAGGACAGACATTTTGCTTCCAACAGTTAACAAGTGGCTCCCAGCTCGACATTGTATTTTTAAAAATTGGAATTGCCAATGTTTATCTGTGAATGCAGATAAGTTAATCTGTCTGGGCTCTGTCTTTGCATAGAGCCCAGCTGTTTCTCCCAGGTAGGGTACTCTGACCTCACTTAAGAAGCTGAAAGATACTGAAGAAGAAGACTGCAGTGGTTCAAGATGGCTAATGGTTTTATTTTTTAAGGATGCAAGAAACTTACAGCATATTTTGGCATCAAATACATATTATATAAAATGTGTATAGCTGTGGGCAAATTGGCACCTGTGGATTGTGGGTGGTTGAAGATTTACAGTCAATATTTAGTCAACAGCTCAGTCACTGTCATAGATAGAAATGTCTCTGACTTCTTTTAAACGTTATTTGCTACTTCATGTTCATAAGCTTAGGTATCATTTTCCTGACCAATTATATAATTTTTAAAATAATACATCTCAAAGACATTTGACATAATAGAAAATGGGGCTGCACGTGTGTTTATATACATGGTGTGACTAAAGAGCAGATTTCCAGTTGGCAGACCTGCCGCAGGCCATTTAACATTTCCAGAACTAAGATTCCTTACCTGTAAAATTTAAAAGTAAACCAAATTAGGTCTGAAGCCCTACTTCCCTTCTCATTAATCTTTTCATTTATGTAATAATCTGGTTGTATCTCACTTACAGCATTAATTAGATCTGACTTGTGTTTTAGGCATCTGCGTTTGTCGTACTTTACCCACTCCGCCTACCTCCCCCAAGTTCAGGTCCTGGAAGCCAGGGGTTTTGTTTCATTCATCTGTATGTCCCCTGCTATACCCAGAAAGAGCCTTGAATGCTCAGGTGCTCAGGACATATTCCCAATTGAATGCCAGGGGCCAGGAGTGAGCAGCGCTCCTAATGCCATGGTTATAGTCTGGATTGTCCCCCTAAAATTCAAATGTTGAGGTTAAACCCCACAGGACCTCAGACCACAACCTTACTTGGAAGTAGGGTTCTTACAGATATAATTAGTTGTTAAGATGAGGTCCTTAGGGTAGGCCCTAATGCAATATGACTGGTGTCCATATAAAAAGGATAAACTTGTACACAGACACACAGACAGGGTGAGGCTTCTACACACTAAGGAATGTCAGTATTCACCAGCAAACCTGCAAGAAGCCAAAGGAGATGCTTGGAACATCCCTCAGGAGGAACCAAACCCTGCCAACATCTTGGTCTTGGACTTCCAACCTCCAGAACTGTGAGACAATAAGTTACTGTGTTTAAGCCACTCAGTTTGTGGTACTTTGTCACTGCAGCTCTAGTAAGGAATAGGCCCACTGCTTCACCAGTTGCTGTCTCAATAGAGGTAGAGCAACAAACCCCTCAGGGCCTCCATAGGTGTTTACCAATGTCACTGCCAAAAGTCCAAGCCCAACTGGCCTACTTCACCTGTATCCCCATCCTCATACAATCTGTGCGTCTGACCCCCTCCCTCACCCTGCCTCTCCATCCACTCTCCTGTTTGGCCTTGGGGTATTTCAGTATTCTCCAGTTTTTCTTAGAATGGTCCTTCCACTTCCTTGCCCTAAGAGGGAGCTGTGTTCTGCTAGAGGAAACTGCTCTCTAGAATCTGCAGCTCCTTTCAGTGGAGACTATTGGTCATTCACTCCTCACGCCTCAAGGCCAAGACTTTGAGCTGTTCAAGACTACTTCTTCCTCTGCCCCTTGCAAAACCTCCCACTTCTTTCAAGTCCACACTCTACCCTCTGCCCTCTATCCCCTGGTCATAACTGTAGCATTCACAGATGCTGAGAGAAAAGTGGTAAAGAATGCAGGCTCTGGGACCAGGCTGCCTGGGTCTGAGAACTAACAGACTTGACACTCACTAGCAATGGTGCTTGGGAAAGTTTACCAACCTTCGTAAGCCACATTGTTCTCAACTATAAAACAAATGTCATGATAATATATGAAATTCATAGAGCAGTGTCTGGTACTTGGTAAGCACTGAACAAACATTAGCCATTATTATGTGAGTTTTTAGGTCTGAGTCATCTTCGTAGGCACCTTAATGACCGTCTTCTTTCTCAGTGCCTTTCATACACATGTGGATGACCCATCCCAACCCTGGATTGTTGGTTCTTTGATGTCCTTACCTCCAATGACCTTCTCCTTCACATTCCCTGAACCACGGATGCCCCTGGTCTCAGTCCAGCCTTACCAACTGCAAAATCTATGTTGCTTCCAACTTCTGAAATTAAAAAGATCCCATACTCCAATCACAGATGTTAATGTTTTGTCATATATACTTTGCATATTTTTGGAATAAATTTGTCCACTAGTAAAAAAAAAAATGTTCAAATGCTCTCACTATAAAAATTCTATGACCTTGAAAGCTTGTTTGGAGATTCTAGCAGGGGAGTGAATCTCATGCACCTTTGACCAAAGAATACACTTCCTCTAATTATAAAATAACACTTTAAAAAATTGGCCTGATACAGTGGTTCACACCTGTAATTGCAGCACTTGGGAGCCAAGGTGTGAGGATCGCTTGAAGCCAGGAGTTTGAGACCCGAGACCAGCCTAGCCAGCAAAACAAGACTCAATCTCTACCACTAGTGACAACAACAAAAAAATCCTATGGCCTCCCATGACTTCCGATCCGTAGATGCCCTTCTCAGTATTCATCAGTTCCCTCCTGCCTTTATTTGTCTCTAGTAATTTGACCCCCATGCCTATACTCAACTAGGTAAACGATGCTAGAGAAACTGTAAAACCATTGACAGAGGTAAATGGATTTAAAATTTTTAGTCTTCCCTCCCTTCAGTTGCCCACATAACAATAAACTTGTTCCTTCTAAATGCATTAACAGGCATGATGCTGATGACTCTCCCCTAATTGGGTATGTAAGCAGCAGCCTCTGGTTGCTGATTCCTAATCCAATGGCTAGCCATAGTCACAAATCCCGATAATGAATGTCTATGCAAGAAGCAAGTGGGTACCCTCCAAGGCTGTCCTATACTCTCATGGTCTTTTCTGGCTTCCTGAGACCCCCATAACATACTTCAAGTCTGGATATTCCATAGCAAAGTGTTTCTTTCCTTTGATGAAGCAAATTTTTAAAAAAAATTTAAAGGAGAGCCTGTACTTTAGAAACCATCTCCTTCTGAGACCGTGCACCAGCCTCGCAGTGAAGTCCTGTTCTCCAGTCTCTCTCCAGGCATATTATCTCTCCTGTGCACTCACACAGTGTGTGTGTGTGTGTGTGTGTGTGTGTGTGTGTGTGCATGTGTGCACACACATGTGGAGAGGCACCTCTTGGTAAATTAGGAACAAGCACCATTGAGGGGATTCAATTCACTTTAACCTT